CTGCCTGAAAATTCACCTGTGCAACCTCAGTACAAACTTACTAATTATTGTTATGTACAGTACTGAATTCTTTGTGACCAAAAAGGAGAGAGTTGAAGATAACAGGGCTGGAGTTCTACCACATGCTCTAGGCAAAGCACGTTTTGATGCTATTTTCAGAGATTAAATATGAGTGGAAAACCTAATTTAAGTATACTGGACATTTAAAATTCAAAGAGGGCAAGTGATTATGATTATGCTAGCTGGTTACAGACATGGATAATGAGCAGGAAAGGCCTCAATTAGACTAAAAGAAACTTTGATTTTCTTCTTCCCAACATAAAGGTAAACTGATAATAGACAAAGTAACAAAAAGATATAATGAGATACCACCCCTAGAAGCCGTGGTACTCAAAGCAAAGAGACTCTCAGGGGGATTTATTTCATACAGGTAGGTGGCAGTATTATATTAAAACAAGGGAAAAAAAAGAAAAACTGATCAGAAACTGGGACAAGTATTCCAACCTGTTCTGACCATGATATTGTGATTAAGGTAATATATTTTAGACTTGATACTGATTTCTTACTGTAAGAAGTGCAGTGATTTCTTGCATCTCTGGTAGGGGTAATTGTGACACATTTATAAGACTTAGACACTTCCCTAAATTAATGTTTATCACATCACATTACATTTCTAAATTTTATCTGATGCCAGTAAAAAGAAAATCCTTTATACCACTTTGCATGTTACACATAGGTAATTCCCTCTGTTTAATCCTGTCTATTATACTGACAAGCTTGGCTCATCAAGCAACAGCATGGTACATAGTTTTACACTTCACATAGACGGTTGTCCTTTCTTGGCAATGAACTACATTGTTGAAGACAGAATTATTCCCTTACTCCAAAACGTTATAAACTGGAAATATTTGAGTTGGACGAAATATTTTGGCCTAATTTAGCAAGCAGTTTTTCCCTACTGTTTTGGACCTCCTGCAGCCCCTTAAGACAAGACAGACGTTTAGAAATGCATTGCCATCTAACTGAATTGGTCACAATTCACACCTTGTTTCCAAGAGATAATAGGAAAATAAAGTCACTGGGTGAACCAAGCGTGCGTGCATGCATGTGCGCGTGTGTGCATGTGTCTATGTGTGGTTTTTAATAACTCATTGAAATCCTATCACAGGAACACGTAGGACATAAAAGTTCTAAGAAGAGTTGGTTTTAAGTGTACAGCTGAAAAATTTCATTAGAAGAAAGAATATTAGAAAAAGAAAAAGCTCTAGCAATTTTTATGTTTTTAACTAACGGACCTAGTTGCAGTTGCATTTCTTCTAGGCTCTTATGACTGTCTTTTACAAGTGCTAGCAAATATTTCCCATTTAAAAACTTCTCACAACTTGTACAGAAGTCCCATTTGATGATGCAACAAAGCCATAAAGAGGTATGTGATATCACAATTCTTCACTTGGCAATCAATTACATTCATGAAGACAGAATTGTATCCTCACTCCATAAATTATCAGAAGTTGTAAAGAAGTAAAATCTTATTCCTCTATAAATCTTTAGGAAATAACTGAGTAAAAGGAGAAGAAGTAGAGCCATGCTATGATTTGTTTAAAACATTTTTTCATGTTTGACCTCCCTTTCATTTAATGTCCTGTAGAAACATCTAACTCTTCTTAATTGGGAAAACTAAAATTATGAGAAGTACTAATTTCCTATAAATTGCATGTGTGTCATATGAGCTTGGAAATATATTACGACTTTGGTTAAAGATGATAAAATGCTACAGTTAGTGTTATTATAAGAAGGAAATGAAGAACAAAAAAAATAATTGGCGAGTGGCTACTGTATTCTGATGAATTTTAAACTGAGGGGTTTTTTTCCATTACATGTCAAACTTGTAATTGATTAAGATAGTCTGTGCTACTTAATAAGGGCACATATTAAATATCCAACTTCATAAAAGGCACTGAAAATCCTTCTCCCCAAATATTTCCAGTTTGATAGGAGCAGGCAAAAAGCATTAAGAAACGTAAACACACAAGAAAATTGCAAATCCCACCTGATGATCCAAATATATGGCATTCCTTTGAAGGTGATGTGAAAGAATCTCATTCTAGCAGGCAGCAGTCAGGGGGAAAAAAGGAAAGGGACAGAAGGTGCAGAATGCATGAAAAGAGCTTTAAAAGATGTAAGCTAGACAGTGATCTTTCTGTTTTACATAGAAATATAATGCTGTTTTTATCTGGGTTTTTTTGGTGAACTGTTAACAAGCTTTGATCCCGAAACAGAAGTGACGAAAGTTTGCCACAAATCAGACTACAAACTAGTACACTACATTTTGGTTTTACATACAAAACACAGTAAGCTCATGTAAATGTCTATGACACAGACAACTATAAACCCTTTGATAAAACTGTGTTTTAAACATGTCCTGATTTTCATATACAGATTACAAATAAAATTGTATCTGATATAAGGCAGTATAAACAATAAATTAATCTCATGATCTATCACTACTAATTTTGATTATAAGAACAAAAGGTTAAAAACCTTTAACTTTAAACTTAACTACAATATATTTTAAAATATTCCTATGTAATTTTGATTTGGCTAATATCAAAAAGCTGTGAGTAAAGCCTCAAAGGGTTAATAGCAGAACATCACATACACAAAGAACCAATGTTACTCTATTCTACTCCCACAGTAGTCAGAAAATTTTGCACTAATGGTACAATGCAAACTTCGATTAATGAATGACTACAAGTTAGTGAGAATGGTACATGACACACATTGCTTTATAGCTGACCTTTGGGCTGCTGGCCTCAAGTTTTAGTTGCATGAGCTGTGCTAGTGTGTGTTCCCGGATACTACTCAGTTCAGCTTGCTGCCGTCTCAGCTTTATTAGCAGCAGCGTGAGCTCCTCTGGCTGAAGGAGTGCAGTGTGAGAAGCCAAAGAGTAGAAAAAAGGTTAATAGGTATCCTAAACAACACTTAATTAAAATAAGGGTTCTTAGTATCTTGCTTACAAAAACTTTCTATAGTGCTGCAATAAAAGATACACCATTTTTCCCCAAATCGACCACTTTCAAATAGACAATGAAGGGTTAACTTTTAACTACTCAAAAGAATCGATACTACAAATGCCCTAAAAGTGGACTATTCTGTATAAAGGACAAAAATAAGCGAGGATTTTGCAGGAGGAAGTCTGTGCAGCCCTCAGATTTTTTTTCTGACATGCATATCAAAATGATCATATTGACCTAAGTGAAGGGGGAGGTAATTCCAGCCCTTAGCATGTCATTACCTGGACATTACATGGACAGCCATTTGAGCTTGGTGAAAGAATTAAAAATGACCTCAAGAAAATTTAGTTTCAAAAATAATTCTTCAATGTATGCATCAAAATTAAGTGTAAAAATAATTTAAAAAGCACAATAACTGAACTACATCAGAAACAATCACCTTTCACAAAATAAAACTGCACAAGCATGACAAAAATAATTTTCCATCTCACCTTCCACAGGTCTGAGGCTACCAGTTAATCTATTGCTTTACTTTTATGACTAAGATGTACAATACAGCCTTAGGAAGGGATGAAGAATAGTATTTAAACCCCAACGTTATATATATATATAATGGAAATAAAGTCACACTCAAATGGGTATTTGTCAGGTAATTCCACACCGATCAATTTAGGTCAGTTTGGGAAACTCTACCTGAACCATTCCTGGGAACCAGTTCTATTGGCAATACTTCAAAGAAAACAAAACACTTAACATCACAACTATTTTTGTTATGTTCCTGTTTGCTTCTGTTTCTTACACTTCTGCAGAAGTTAGTCTTATAGGAGGTTAAATATTCATCCAGCATTTTGCTTTTCTCACAAGTTCTGTGAGTTAAGAAAAAAACACAAACCCAAACACAAAAAACCCTAAAGCCCTGCTTGCTCTCTCCCACAGTCACAGAACTTCCCCAAAGCAAAGTAGTAAAGAAAAAAGCTCCAGAGAACCACATATTAAATTACTGAAAAACGAATACCAGCTTCTTTAGAATAAAGAGGAAAAATCCCTGAGAATAACCATGGCACTGGCACCGTCGTGAGCTTGTACCAAAGTAGCCCACAAGAGGGAGCAAGGGATTTCCACATAGCTTCAGTTGTCAAAACCATTTGCTTTGAGGGAAAACCAACACCAAAGCCAAATTGTCTAACGGCCAATCTTCCTTTTAGAGTACTCTTTCAATACCTGGATTTAAAATACTTAATTTAGAGAGTAAGCGTAAGAATCTAGACTGCTATACAAGACATTTTCAAGTTATCTCCAAAAATCAGTGACAATGCTTTCAGTCTGAAAATTAACATCATTTCAAAGCACAAGAAAACTTATTTTTAGAAATAAGAGAATTGAAAGTAGGATCTTCAAACAAAAGGAACAGTGAACCACTTTTTCAAGATCAAAACTCTTCTTGATATGTTGTGCAAAAGTCCAATTTTAGTGCATTAGGAATAAACAATTAATGGTACTTAAATCCAATGTTTGCAAGCAAACTTTTTGCCATAGAGGAGCCCATCAAACAGTAATTCCTACTTCTCTCTAGACATTCATAAAGTTGCAAACATTTTTGACACTGCTGTAAGTGCTGTGCTTTTGATACAGCTCTCGGGACTCTTGCAACAACCACAACACAGAATTTTGTTTAAAGAGCTACCTACAGGTTTCCTCCTCTGGCCCCTGCAACACTTGTGCTGTGGGCAGGACTTCTGGTTTCTACAGGCAGAAGCTTGGACCTCCTTGACCCCCTACCCTGCTCATTGGCCCAGCTCCAGCAGCAGAGCCCAGGAGAGCTGATGGGGCCATGAACCCAAAGAAACATCTGCGGAAGACAAGGCGCAGAGATAAGGCGCCAACTGCCAAAGGCCAACCCATAAGTTGCTGAAGGTGCCAGGGATTCATGCTGGGAAGTGCAAGAAACAGGGGTTGAAGCAGTGGAAGGATTGACTGGGGAGCTGTTGCCCACAGTACGATTCAAAATGCGTATTCTCAATTCATAAAGTCTCAAACAGTAATTTCAGATGGACAGAGAAAGATTATGGAAAGGAGACAATAACTGGTAAATAAATGTAGTAAATTTAGGGCAATTTCTTAGCTTTTGGCTAAGAGTCAGGTTTCAATGAGGAAGGTGGACAGTATTCACCAATATTACTTTGATGAAACACCTTCAATGAGAGTTTCAAGTCTATCACAGAAAAATGGGAGATGTCAGAAAGGACATAATTTTACCAAATGCAGTTTTAGTATCCTTACGATTTCCAAAAGAGGTAAACTTTACTTCTGGATTTTCTAAATACTTAATGGAGAAATAAGTGTTCTGTGATGTATTCTACCCTTTCCCAGGAATTTCTGTAATGTATCAACGATGATTAAAAACAAACAAACAAAAAAAACCCCACCTGTATTTTGAAAAGAAAATCTGGAGTCAGCAGCTACACAATATTCTCAGAATTCAGCGTAACCACACAGTAATTCCTTATTTGCTTTAAAAATCCCTGATAATTAAAATAAAGGCTACACATAATGTAAGCTTTGAATAGAATAAGACTTCAGTGTTGCCTCTTCATACTTAAAAAATTATTTGTAAGAAAAAACTCATGTACCAAACAAAAATCCAACTCACTGTTTTGCCTTGGAGGCTCTGAGGAGTAACAGGCTGTAAACTCAGACCTGCTGGCATTGACCTTCTGTCGGGCACAAAGACATGCTGTACAAAAACAAAATAGCACAGTATGATCCATAATTATCTAAAGACTCAACAACTATTAAATGCTAAAAAAAAAAAGTTCAACTTTTTTTAAAAAGGCAACTTCATGCTCATGACAAATTTGCTATGATTTGTGCCAGCTTTGGCCAGTCATGCTCCCTGCTGATCTACCATCTAGGACACTTGAGTAGGCTACCTCTAACTTCTAGAAATAACCCAGCTTTCATCATTCATTTAATTAAAAGTCCTCCCTCGCAGCTGTTCCCCTAATCATAGCCCATGTAAACAACAACAATTTTAGTTTTTCACCCACCACTGAAAGCTGTTTAAAACACTAAGATCTCTATACAGATGGAGTTTAAATCTTAAATTTACCCTACTGATTTCAAACAGTCTTCTAATTTCCCACATCTCAAAAACAGGTTTGTGTTTCTGAGTTAATGGAAAAAGCTAGTTGTGTAACCAAAAAAACCACCACAAACCAAATAGCATGAAAAATCATAGAATCATAGAATCATTTAGGTTGGAAAAGACCTTTAAGATCATCCAGTCCAACCACTGGGAAAAAAAAAAAATTGGGAAAAAAACCCCCAAAGGTAAGTAAGAATTTTATATAAAAGATGCTAAATATGAAATGAAATACTAGCATAAAATGTTGCACATGGAAAAAATATGAGAAAGCAAAACCTGGCTGAAAGGGCAAGTGAGCACATGTTCTGCAGCACTGGTATTTCTCAGATTTGAGAGGAGCACTGATTACTAAATTTCCAGTGCAGTTGAGACATAAAGGATGTCACAACAAAATGACTCCTTTGTTGACAGGAACCTAAAAACTTCCCAAAACAAGACTTAGTAATCAATTGTAAGTTGTTTAAACTTAAGATGTAGTTAAAGATTTTTTTTCCTGCATCAAGAAACATAAAGGAACTTGAGATAAAGATTTAGGAAAAACATTCAGGAGCATTTTATGCAAACTATAGTTTTACATCCAACTGAAAGAGTAATTTTTATGTAATTATCTCCAATCTATTAAAAAACATCTGTAACACAAGCATGATGGATAGAGCAGAGCCACATACAGCACCCAAGTTTACAATTCTTCATGTCTTTCTCTCACTGATGAAGACCAGCAAAGTTACACTAGTCAAGCACAAAGGTTGTGTGCAAGTAGGCTCTGATCTTTAGTGATCTCCCTGATAATTCAAAGGCATCGAAAGAAATGACTACACTCAGTTTTCTGCTGGAACCCAAGGCAGCCAAACTTGTGGCTGAAGAATAGAAAACAGCACATGGAAAGAAATCTGGGATTTTCAGTCCTCAGAGTTGCAGCTAAAAAAGCTGGAAAGGAGAAAGATTTCTGTACATAAAGCAAACTATTCTGAATAATTTGTCTATTGACTCCTTTTCTTTCCTTTAGAGGAACATAATAACATGGACAGTAATATTAGGACAACTAGGTTTTCACCTAGCGTATTAAAAATCTAAAGGTTGTAAAAAGATATTTTTCTAAATGCTTTTTAAAATCAAACCTTTCTCCATGAAAACAGTGATGTAACTTAATCTTTGTTATAATCAAATATACTACAGTGCAACACAAGTTTTACAGTAACCGTATACTTCCTACTAAAAATCCTTGTAAATAAGATTTTTTTAACTATTAAAATAAGCATTTTTACCTTAGTATGATGCGTCCTGTGTCTGCGATCAATAGTTACATCTCCCCTTTGCACTGGTGAAGACACTTCTGATCTGTAGGTCCGCTGTGGGGAATATCCTTGGAAACCAGCAATTGAACCATGAGAAGGTGAGGTGGGAATCGAATGCATTGTCTGATCAGAAATATTAATCATAGTTTTTGGGCTGCTTAAAGTACTGTGTCTAGTAAGAGTTGTTTGCTTGTTGTAAAACTGACGTTGCTGCCATTCATAGAGCTGCCACATTGTGTCATCGCGCATCGACCTCCGTTTTTCTTCGGCTGTCACTGGTCCTATGGCTCTGTCGTAAGCTGACGGCGTTATGCTGCAGAGGCTCTCCGGCCGTGCCTTACTGTTTCTTGGCAGTGTTCTGTAGCCTTCTGGGTACCGGGGTAGAACTTGAGGTCGATGGCTTGGCATGTTTCTTGGTAACGTCTGATATGAGATTATGCTGAAACACAGATTTTCGTTTTATTAGTGGACAGCACTATTATTATGGCAATATAAAGTTTTTTAATATTGGTTAGGGTTTATCTAGCTAACTCTTACCTTTTTCTTTTTCTTAATACTACAAGTGTCATTTTAAAAACATGCAAGAAAATCAAGATGACAATTAAAGAATCAACTACACTGATTGAATGCACTGTAGCAGACAAAACTGGATCCTCTCTCTGATTAGACATTTGATTAATCAAGGCTCAGTGCTGGGTCCTGCACTTGGGTCACAACAACCCCATGCAACGCTACGGGCTTGGGGAAGAGTGGCTGGAAAGCTGCCTGGCTGAAAAGGACCTGGGAATGCTGGTCGACAGCCGGCTGAATACAAGCTGGCAGTGTGCCCAGGTGGCCAAGACCACCAACAGCATCCTGGCTTGTATCAGAAACAGTGTGGACAGCAGGACTAGGGAAGTGGTCATCCCCTTGTACTCGGCACTAGTGAGGCCGCACCTGGAATACTGTGTTCAGTTTGGGGCCCCTCATTACAAGAAAGACATTGAGGTGCTGGAGCATGTCCAAAGAAGGGCAACGAAGCTGGTGAAGGGTCTGGAGCACAAGTCTTATGAGGAGCGGCTCAGGGAGCTGGGGTTGTTTAGCCTGGGGAAAACAAGGCTCAGGGGAGACCTTATCGCTCTCTACAACTACCTGAAAAGAGGCTGGAGCAAGGTGGGTGTCGGTCTCTCTTCCCAAGTAACAAGTGATAGGACAAGAAGAAATGGCCTCAAGTTGCACCAGGGGAGATTTAGATTGGATATTAAGAAAAATTTCTTCACTGAAAGGGTTGTCAGGCATTGGAACAGGCTGCCCAGGGCAGTAGCTGAGTCCCCACCCCTGGAGGTATTGAGAAGACGTGTAGATGTGGTGCTTAGGGACATGCTTTAGTGGTGGACTTGGCAGTGCTAGGTTAATGGTTGGACTTGATGATCTTAAAGGTCTTTTCCAACCTAAACGATTCTATGTTAGATGATTACATAATCCACATTTCATCATTTTACCAGTTTAACAGTCTAGTAGTGTCAAGTTTAGCTCAAATCTTGTAGCTTGTCCACATGCTGGATAGGTCAAAGTTTTGAAAGCTTTGAAGTTCTATACTGTTTCCATTTGAGCCCATTTTAAATGTTCTCTTTTTCAAAAGTGAAAAAATCTCCTGTTGCTTCCCTAAGAAAATCTTGAGCAATTACTATGGACATAAAAAAAAATTATGATTTTTTTGAACAGCAGACCAAGGAAAAAGAGCAGTAATTGTCTAATGAAATTATATTTTGCAATTGTCAAGGACAAGCCATTCCATATCAGCTATTCAAGCGAAACAAATAGCAAAGTATTTCTTTGTTTGATAATAATATTGTATTGCTTTTCAACTTGGATATGAATTCAAAGGCTTATTCTTTAATTTGTTGCCACATTAAAATTCTGGAGTGCCAGTCATTTAGCAACTTTCAGCATTATTTGAAATGCAAAATTTTCCATACCGAGTATCAATGCATGCTTAAGTATGACAAAGCATTTCTTGTTTTTTCAGAGGACAAAATCTAGGTCATAAACATTGATTCATTCAACCCTTATCTAAAATTCAGATAAGCACCTCTTTAAGCCTTTTGCTACTGATCACATCTATGATAGATGCTTTCCCAGAAACAACAAAACTCATCTCAAATTGGACATGATTCAGCCATCAGAGGGCAGCAGCTTCTAGCTACACGCCAGACTAATTCAAACTAAAATCCCTGCCACCACAAGGCACCAGAATCTGAAGGTGGTTTTGAAATACTTCAGTGCCACAAAAACATTAAAGAAATGATGCAGGGCAAATGGCAAGGTAAACCAGCATTGTGCATGTTAGATCCTTATGGAATAGCTATCAAGGAAATTGGTGATGGTAAAACCTACTTTTCACTGAAAATATTTAAGCTGAGTACTTATGATCACCTGTAACATTTTGGAGATGAAAACTGCTATAAAAAGCTTTACATACAAAATCTGCTACAGTTTCTGAAGCTTTCCGAGAATTAATTATTATCCCCATTTTGTAGATTGGACAGCTTTCCATTCTCACAGAAAAATTACAAAAAAAGGGCAATGGGTTCTAAATCCTATTCTTTTGCTGCAAAACCTGCTTAAATACCTCTAAATTTCTTCATGTAACATACCACTAATGATAAGGGCTTTTATCCATCTCCATATTTAAAAAACAACCAACCAAGACGCTTTTGGGTTCAACTTCTAACTTCTGGGTTCTAATTTCAAAATATTATTTTAGCTATTCACAGATGGGTATGGTGAAGCCTAATATATTCATGAAGATATCCAGTAGCTAGCACCTCACTCACTGAAGCTGCTCTCCCATTTTATTAATTAAATGGGCAGTATAATCCTGTTGGCTCCTTTAAATATCCTGGACAATTTGAAGAAAAGCTGTCTGAAGTTCTTACTATGTAAAGAATAGCAATTTAATGTCTGCATGCAATTACTTATATTCTAGAACATTTAAGAAGATAACATATCCATCTTCTATTGGTAAACCACAAAAACTGTAAAAAGCCCAACCACCTCAATATTAAGCCTTGTTTTACATGATTTGATAAAATCAAAACAGATTCACCAATGTCCTGTTGATACTTGCAAAAATGTCATTCTAGTCAAATCCAAAAAACAACTCTAGACAGCACTGCAGCTTATAGATGCCTTGCACACAGGGGGAGACTGCTGCAGGCAGTCAAGCAGTCACACACTCTGTGAGGTTGCAAAAGATTTCTGCAACTGTCATCATAAATAGCTCCCTACAAATGTTCCCATATGAAAAAAAAAAAACTTCCACATGAGTTTATAGACTCATTATAGACACCTTTAGAGATTGTCTCTAGCATTACTGTTGGGTAGCAATACTGGTTCTGGTGTCCGAGTTGGACTATTTGGGAAGGCAACTTTGCTGCTAAACCTTTAGGGGCTCAGTTCCACAATGTTATGAATACCCTCAGATTGAAACTTCAAAATAGCCCTTCATCCTAAAGAATGCACATACCAGCTGGCCCAGAATACAGAACCTTCCCATGCAAATCAAGCAAAGGGTGGCAGAGTGAAGACGGAAACCTGGTGCTGTACAGCATGCATTTATTATTTAGGATGAGGCTTATATGGGCTAGGTGGGGAGAGGGAGGCTTACACCCCAGGCTAGCAGCAACAAAAACCCTCACTTAGCACCATGCAGCCCTTCTGCACTTTTTCACATTTGAGAAAGACCACTCAAGTGAACCACTTTTGGTGAAAATATTTACTCATAACTGACTTGTGCAAAATTAATTCATTAAAATGATACTGAAGTGGAATGTTTTTATTTAAAAAACATATATTCTTGGTTTTAAAAAAGGGGTTGTCTTCCTCAAGGCATCAGTTGTCTTTATTCGTGTGGCTCTGGCAAAACTAGACATCTAGATCCACGGAAATGGCAGATAACAGCTTCAAGAATTAAAAACTGCATTGCCGTCATTCTCATTAATTTCTCAGGAAATCAGACTACTAAGGGGTCAGTGTGTTCCTCTAAAAAATAAGTAGTTTTACAGTAAACCCTTTCCATTCCATATCGAGGACAGCTAACAGCTCCTGTTTTACATATAGTTACTTAAATGAACCTGTTTGTTATCATTTTAGTGTTCTTAAACTCTGAATTTTTTTTTTCAGTCTGACACACCAGAGATACTGTTTGGTCCTCCATAATTTCTCTAACACATTAGAGAGACAGATGCAATGGAAAGCATCTTTGTTAAAAGTCAGAAACTTTTCCCCACTACGTGAAGACTACTTTTCTCAAGAATTCAAGTTATGAGGTGAACAGGTCTTACTACAAACAGCCTTACTAGCTCCTCACCCCAACCTTAAGCTTTAACATAAACTGGATCTTCTTTCTACTCTCATTCACCAACTTGAATTCTACTTAAATTTCTGTCTCCAGCCAGAAACTGGCAATTTGAACAAAAATAAAATTTAAAATTTTAATGGAACTACATTCTAAAGACATCACTAACCATTAGAAATTTGGATCATTATTCAAGGTCACTTCCACACAAAGCAAAAAAGGTAGCTCAAGGCCAACTCCTTTTCTGTTTGCTACCTTTATGTAGAACTGCAGTTGAAAGCATACTGTTTGTGCTATCAGTGCCACCCTTATCTAAGCAACAAGTGGCCTCTAGAGTCAAGGATAAAATATTGTTAATTACTAACATATTGTTAACAGTACTTCCCTCTGTTTGATTCCCACAATGAAATCAGTTTTAGGGTTTATATACTTGCTCGCAACTGAAAACAAATCGCACAGCTATTCAAATTTCTCCTGTTTGGTTGCAAATTTTACAGTTCAATTAAAAAAAAAAAAGATCTAATTCACCAAAGAGCCTTCTCAGTTCTCATTACAGAAGCATGAATAATAAATGTCAGAGTGTACAAGTCACTCTCTATACTGGAAGTTCAAACTTGATCAAACTACATGTTAAGTACTTTATGAAACAACACATTAACAATTCCTAATTATATTTAATGAAGGACTAAAGGCAATGAGGAAATGTTCAACCAAGTTTGGCAAGTGTAAGTCAAATTAATGTACATTTTTCATGTTTTTGCAAAAACTGAAAAGCCCTCAACCCCCGTATTTTGAAATTTGCAGAAAACACATTTTCTGAACTTGGTTCTACCTTAAGCTCTGCTCTGCCACCCATCTATATGCAAACTCCCTAATTTCCAGCTCTTCAAAATATCTCCTGTGATAGCATCTCCATTAATTCCTATCTAATATAATATTAAAAACTTTTATATTTTACTGGTAGAGCTGCTTGTCTGTAAGCCAGCCTGGAAACAACGTCCCTACACTTCCGTCAGACAGAAAAATTGCTATTGGCACAAGATTTAATGTAATTCACACATAATATTAAAGCTTCATGAATGAGCACTGGAACTCAATATTAGAACTGGGAGATGTTTAATTTCATGAGAAGAGAAGCTTTAGGCATCAAGGTAGTTAGATTTCTATGACTTACTCTTAGGTAAAGCTTCTCTCTCTTCAATTAAAGATTGTTTAAAATTCAAAAGCTCCCTGGAATATGTTTGAAGAATTTTAAGTAAAATATTATTACAAGAATTTGTGAACAAAAATGCAGAAGACAGGGCAATTTCAAAAACAGATTTTTAGAGGAAAAAAGAATTGTTATGATTGATGACACCTTCTCTCTGCTAGGATAGAGAAATTTCTAACACCCAAAAAGGGTTTCTGGCCATTTTTATTTATTAAGTTATTAATATAGTTTAATTTATTAATAATCACTCAAATCTTAATAAAAGAAAAACTTTAGTAAATCTGTTCTGAGCAGTCATCCAGGTACTTCTGACAGAGAACAATGAATTAAATATTTATGTAACATAGACCAAAACCTAAAGAATCTAACCAGGATACAAGTCTAAGTATTATTTGCTAGAAAGCCTAGCAAAAAAAAAGAAACAAAACCACATAGCACTTACCCTCTTGCTTCTTCTTCTTGTCCTTTTCCTCTTTGTATTTTAATCCACTGTTCCAACTGCAGCATTGAATTAGTTCTCTGCATAACTCGTTCAGACTCCATATGTGACTGAACCGCATTGTGCTGACCTCCATCTCCAGTGTCCGCCAGGACAACACCAACAGCTTTATTCTCAGACCCATTTAAATGAACTGGTCTGAAGTGTCCAGCCTGAATCGTGGTTATGGGTAAAGTCCTATATTCGGATCCCAAAGGATTTAGCTTTACACTGTTAATTTTTGTTAATGGTTTATCTTGCCCAACTTTCTGGAACCCATATTTTTCAGCTTCCAAAGCTTTCTTTTCCTCATTTTTGTTCACTTCTTTGTCTTTCTGGTTATTTTGTGCCTCTGGCTTAATTAGCACCCGATGGTTTGAAATATTATTTGCCTCTCGAGGTGGTGTATTTTCAGTGGTTAACTTCTCTACTCTGGAAAGGAATATATGACAAGTGTTAATATCAACAAAAAAAAAATCATTAAAAAACAGTAATAAAAAATGAAAAGTGAATATATTTGTGTTTATCAGGGTTCTTTCAGTGAATCCCTGTCCAGATATTTTACACCAGTATCTTGTCTTTGAGAGAAAAATCCAGGACATATTTTCACAATAACCAAGCACAGGCTGTTTTTTTGTTGTTGCTGTTGTTTTGTTTTTTTCATTTTGGTTTTGTTTTGGGGGTGGGGGTGGTGTTTGGGGATTTTTCGGTTTTTTGTTTGGTTGGTTGGTTTTGGGTATTTTTGATTGGAGAGTGTGAGTGTTTCTTCTTCCATGCTTCTCTATTTCTTTGCTATTTTAAAAGCATTTATAACATGGGGTAAATTTTTTAAGCCAACTTCAAATTAAACCCCTAGAAAAAAATGTGCACAAGAGGAAATAAAACCAGAGTCTGAAAAAGTAGATGTTCAGTTCCTGGAGGGCTGGACGTTCAAACAGTGAAAATATTCAGTGGCTCTCCAAGAGCTAAAGCTTCCAGATGTCAACAGCCTGAAATGCAGACGATTTTTAAAGCCATCTTTAAAAAAGGTAGCAGATTACATTGCTGACGAGCTTGTGATTCACAATACTGCTGAATTTAACATATAATGAGCTCCTTTAAAGAAAGCAAACAACTTTTCATGGTCACTGGCATCAATTAGGTTTCTCTGCTATGTTATCACTTTGGCTGGCATACATTTTGTGGAAAATAACTGTGGCTTCCCTTATTTTAAGGGGAAAAATAGCTGCTGACTTAGGGAACTGTACCACAAAAATAATGATATTTTTAGAACAGTTACTGCTTTACAGTACTTACACAAGTACTCAATGTATGGAGTTCTATTAGCTATCTTCTTTTTAAAATTTCAAAATGTCAAGAAGCTGTATCTTCTTCCATACTGGGACGTGAACTGAACAACCAGCTCAGATAGTGACTTTTTTTTTCCAGTGTACTAGAAAAAACCCACAAAACCCCTAAAATGTTTTGATCAACATTTTTTTGGTATGGGAGGAAAGAAGAGGAAGAGACATAATTCTTTAAGAATACAGCTCTGTATAAAACCAAACCAAGAACAAAACTTGATATTAAGATGATGTCAACCTTTCACACTGTTTTGCATCTTTTTTGCAAATGCATTATTCATCTTTATAACGGTGTCCAGTTCAAATGCCTAATCTGTGTGTAAAAAGGCCATCACATACACAACTGACCAAGAGCACAAGTATGACTGTTCCTCTGAAAAATGCTCTAGTTCCAAGTAGAGTAACTACTAGACTAACATAGCTGTAAGCATTTTTGCTCTCCCTGTCTTTAACATGAGGCTTAAATGTCCAACAAGTCTACACTTCCCCAGCAGATTATTTAAGCCATGAATTCCCACCAGGCCAACAACTCTTTGGGACAGAGCCTCAGCACATACATGAAGGACTGAAAACTGTAAGGTCCTTATAAAATACTACCCACTGCTAATAACATTGGACACTTAATTTTAAATGCGCCTCTCATTACCACCCTACTCTTGCTATGAATTTTCCATGACGTGAAAGGAATCAAGAAACTCCTGCCTTGACGAGTACACCATTCCAAACATATCAGTCAGAAACAGCAAGACATCAACATCCTCTGCATACTGTACGTGAAGTAGAATAAAATGCTCATGCACTTTACATGTTAACAAGGGGTGTGGGTTTTTTTCCCCATGCCTCTTCCTGACATAGCTGTGATGATCCCAATCTCTACTTGATACTTCATAATGTTATGAAAGTCCTCCAAAATTCACTCTATTAATATAAGTAGGTCAAAATAGTCCTTTTCTTTCAGTGATTATTCCTGAGCTGCCGATGTAAAAGCATACACACATCAAACATATTGCAAATGAAAACATTCATACAAAATATCTAACATGAATATCTCTCTGGCTGTATGCTTCAGCATTATTTTTAAACACAGTGGGTTTTTTTTACATGAGTAGTAAATGCAGAGGTTAGATACATCTGATGTTTTCTGCTAGCAGAAAGGAGAGGGTAATATTTCTGCCAACCATAACTTATAGAGAAAAAACATCTCAACGTAGAACCAGGTTTTATGTAGACTTTTGTGGGGGAGGACACATGTGGTGGAACTGCTATACCTACGTCATCTTTTCTATAATTTCCAAGTATCAGCAAAGAAATGCTATGCTAATCTCCTGCTGCAATTTAAAAGTGAGGTGTTTTCTCTCCCCCCCTCCCCCCCCCGCCAAGACTTTAAACTGTTCCCAAGACCAAACATTTCTGCCTAGGTTCCTTCTCAAGGTTATGGAAAAAAACTGGTTCATCTCCTCCCTCCCTCCTGAAAACTGTACTACCCAGTGTTCTACCACAAACTAAAGCAATTCCCCAAACAGGAGACTGAATGAAAAACTCCATGTCCCACAATTATCAAGTCAAAAAAGGGTGTTAAAGTTTCAGTTTTCAGCCAGCACTCAAGAGTTTACAAATAAATATAAGCACTACCTTGCAAATAATCCTACACATGGGCATTAATATCTGCAACATGCCTTAACAGTACCACCTACCCCCTTATATAGCACTTAATACCAATCTTTCTCAAGGTGCTTTACAGCACAGAAGCAGTTGCCATTTTACAGATGGAAAAATCTATGGTGCGGAGGGAGAGTGGCATCTCTGAGGACATTCATCAGATAGGTGGCAAAGTCAAGACTTGGCACAGTGTTTGATTCACAGTATCATAGTACTTTCCACTGTAGATCTTAATTAAAAACCAACAAACCCCAAAGTCACTGAATTGTTTTTCCATGCAATCTCTATGCTGTATCACTTGTTACTATGGTTATACACAACAGAGCCAAGCATTTATATTTGACGTTCTTTGGGATGGTATAGAGGCTGAATGACTGACATTCAAATAGACTTCTGGGCTCCCCTTTAACTGTGTGCATCAAATTAATCAACTCGGTGTGAGCAAGAGATCTTTTTCCACAGCAAAGGATCCAAATGGGAAAGAATTATCAGAAACTAATAGGTAAAAGTAAGAAACATAAATCTGTATTTATATTTGGCTCTGTATTTATACCTGGCTCTCAAAGACATATTCAACAAGACTTGCAGGTTATGTTGAAGGCGGGAGAGGGAGAAGACAAAAGAGAACAAGCATTGAACATACGTGTTTCAGCATATACTGAATGCAATTTATACGTTTCGACAACAAAACAGGAATAATATGTATGGAACAGTAATACAGGAAAAGTACTATTTTCCACTGTTTTATGTAAGTAAATAATTCTGAAGGGGGTGGGGAGGGTATGTAATCAAGTACCAGACAGACATGAAGACTGATTTAACAAAGCCAGGCAGAGGCATTTGGAAAGAAAAAGCCTTCTTTTCCAAATACAGTGACATTGGTAAACCCCCACTGTGGACGTCATCATGCCAACAAGTGCTTTTTTGGCAGGTTAGCTTATGCTGTTCAGGGAGAGTAACTACGCTAGGAGGGAAAAAAAACCCACCACTCTTCTTAGTACATGCTGCATCACTCAGCAGAAACAAAGGCTCTGGCACACACAGCTAACAGGGAAAGGATAGAAAAATGTTGCTCTCAAACATGAAGCTGGTGAAGGGTCTGGAGCACAGGCCTTATGAGGAGCATCTGAGGGAACTGGGGTTGTTTAGTCTGGAGAAGAGGTGGCTGAGGGGAGACCTTATCGCTCTCTACAACTACCTGAAAGGAGGTTGTAGTGAGGTGGGTGTTGGTCTCTTCTCCCAAGTAGTTAGCGATAAGATGAGAGGAAATGGGCTCAAGCTGCGCCAGGCGGGGTTTAGGTTGGAAATTAGGAAAAATTTCTTTATGGAAAGGGTAGTCAAGCATTGGAACAGGCTGCCCAGAGAGGTGGTGGGGTCACCATCCCTGGAAGTGTTCAAAAAACGGGTAGACGTGGCACTTTGGGACATGGTTTAGTGGACATGGTGGTGTTGGGTTGATGGTTGGACTGATGATCTTAGAGATCCTTTCCAACCCTAATGATTCCTTGTTTTTACTTTCATTATAAATAATCCAGCCACCCAGCCAGGAAACAGAAAATTCCTACTCTACCTTTAATTGGTTTAGTGGTGGACTTGGTAATGTTAGGTTAATGGTTGGACTGGATGATCTTAAAGGTCTTTTCCAACCTAAACGATTCTATGATTCTATGAGAGAGTAGAGAAATCAGCATTTAGGGTAAAAATGATATATCAGTATGTTGGCGGGCATTAGCATCTACAAACACAAGAAAGCAATCAGTACTCATAGATACAACTTAACTGTGGTCTGCAGTGATACAACATGGAATAAGCAAGATGTTTTGCTAATCCAGCAAGGTTGTTTGAGATCATATTTTAAGTCATAAGCATAAGTAGTTCCTCACTGACTGAAGTATTTGTGTTTAATTATTTTGATATGTCTCTCAGTACATTATTAAACTTGAATTTACTATCTAGGTAAAATTAAAACAAAAATGTTTAGAAAGGAGTAATTACAGTTAAGTCAATAGGACCAAATAATATTTGTCCTTCCCTGCAGTTATACATCAGAAGGGAGTTTTTCTGCTCTGACTGCAGATCAGTTCTAAAAGAAATGGTTACATTTTTATTTGCTCACTTCAGTACCTCATTTCTGTATTATGTGGCTAACTACATGTGGAAAGTAAGAATATTTTATGGAAAACTGGGCAAAATCCCCACAACTTAATGTTTAAATATTCCTTTTATCTTTTTTCTCTCCAAAGAACTCACATCCTCAGAAAAATAAAGATGCAGATTGTAGCTCTGAAATTATTTAAAGCTGAAACATTCAATTTAACAGACTGTTGGGTTTGGATTTCCAGAGTATAGTAAGCAGTGAAGTACCTGACTTCTAGATTTAAAGAACTATACTGTAAAAACTCTCACTTCTCATTGGGTATATATTAACAAGCAGTTAAGAGTGGCTCAACATCAGGTTGCATAAATATTTAAGGAAGTAAGTTCTTAATAATTCTAGCTATTGTATTGTAAGTAGTCTGTTAGAAAACTGTATTCAGTACAATGTTAGAACCTCTCGAAAAAACAGAATCAGGAAACAAAGGCACTGGCTGAATTTGACTGAACCAAAATCATTTATGCTTAGAGCTATGTGCATGCCAAACTTTAGGTTACTTTGAGATGAGGTAATACAACACTTTAATACTTAACAGATTTTTACAGGGAAGAAACAGTATTTCTTCTGGATATGATCATATCCTGCTACATGGTTCATTTTAAGAACTGTTTTGATAGCCAAAAGATGGATTCTTTAGAAAACAGATGTCTGAAGGATTTTCTTCCTTACTATAGCTAACACACACAAAAGTCTTCAAGACTTCACTGGTCTTGAAATGTATTTTCTCTCAAGTAATTATTTCAAGACTACTAACAAACTTTTCAAAGAGGTCACATCTACTTCTGTTTTATTCTAGGGTTTCTTGCCTGAATTAAAACAACAAGATGGTGTTACATAAGTCTCTTTTCTTGTTGCTTTTCTGACACTTGTTTTGGCTGTTGGCAAGCCCATTCTGCCCATGACATCCAGGCAGAAAACCAGTGATTTTGCTGCTGAGTGCTTTTCTACTCGTTTAGTGTGCTACACTGATTGACCAAGGAGTAAGATAAGCACCCGAAGCAATGCAAGGCAGATTGCAGGAGCACGTATAGCTGGATGAAAAGTGTTAGATGAGCTCAGCCGTATTGGAAATCCCCACCGTTTGCCAATATGCTGCCAAACACCTGAAATAGGCAGTGCTGGAGTAGGCACTGCAGCTCAAAGAAGTGGGTAGGAATGCATGGCCAAGCATTTTGGGAGGCTAGAACACCCTTCACGGCAGCGGACCGCACATTGGTCTTGTTAGAGCAGCCATGGCACTGCAGCCTAGGAAGGACAACTAGCCTGCAAAGCTGTGCCGGGCACCAGGGTGAGCTCACTACAGATCTTGCTAGGCTCTGAGGCAGCAAACATGACTGTACATGTATATTAGTGAACTGCACAAAAAAGCAGATATTTACATTATCATTTTGGATTGCTTCTTATGTTAAAAGAAATGTCACAAGTAATAATGTAACACCTGTCTATATAATTAGGTATACCAAATATCTTCTATAGAGCATTGACTATTACGGGAGAGACTATGAAGAAGACACTTATTATCTGTCAGATGGAGATGTACTTTTTTCACATTAAATTTTTTCTACTACAAATATGTCCTCTTCAAACGTTCAATCTTCACAGTATTGCAAACACCAAATGAAGGTCATTTCACTGGTTCAAAGAGATTCAAAATGGCCCACTTCAGTATTATTCCCCCTACAAAGTGCTTATACAATCAGTACTTGATTTTTGTTTGAAGGTAAGAGGGTCTGATTTGGTTTAATCTTTTCTCCATCTGTACGCTACCACAGCTATCTGCAATACACAATGCGAACCAAAACTGATTTTTCAGATTGAGTTTATTATTCAGTAAGCTAAATGAGATCATTTTTTTGTCAAGGTAACACCATTCTTTTAAATACAATCTCTCAAAAGCTCTGAATGAAGAAATTAAAAGGTGAAAGTGCTATTAAGTACCTACTTGCTTATGCTCTATCTCACTCTGCTTATCCCTTTCCCATATCATCTGTTGTTCCCAAACAAGAGGAGGGTTACAGGAGACAACGAATGTAACGTCTTCATATAGAATATGAAATAATACATAAGCAGATCAAATTTCATTGTGGTGATTGGACCACCTACTACTCCTCCTTCCTACAAGCTGAAACCTTTTATTTTCAGTAATTTTGGGAAAAAGAAACATGACAGCTGAGAGCTTGAAGCACATGTGTTATTCCATTGTACAGAGAACAATGGATTTTTCTATGATGCTATTTCACTATGCTGTCCAATGCAAAGAATGAAATACTTCATACATTATCTATGTATTTAAAGGATATTAGAAACAAAAGCTAAGATTTCAACCTTTTTTTTTAAGATTAGTGACTAAACAGTTGCACAGGAACAAATTTGAAAGAGTTCTGAGTTTACAGTTATGCTTCTGAATATTCCATAGATTGGGGTAAGTGAAAGTGTCACTACGTTTGACTGAGAAGCTCACAAAACTTTAAAACATATAAGTCTAAAAGTGTCTAATCATTCTGCACTCCATTTTATGCTTCTGTCAGCATCATACTGGAACATGGGCTATAGAAATGTTAGGAACGAGTTAAGAGGAATGACTTGCACTGGTGATGCAAAATTCAGAAAGACTGCTTGTATTTTGAAAAGTTCCATGTGCTCACTCTTGCACAAAAATTGTACCTTTTCCTTCTTTGGTGCCTGTGTCTATGGAATTTTTTACCTTTCTTTTTTTTTTTTTTACCCTTAAAATTTCTCAGCATTGCTGCCATTCGTTTAGCTCCAGTGCAGCAGGAACTAATGGAGTGCAGAAGTAGATCAAGTGACAGCAGCCATCAGCAGTAATTTCTGTGCCATCAAGAACAAAGAGCTTTCAAGTTTACCATTGATAAGGGTTTCCATCATAGATGACACGGAGCCAACCCAAAGGACAACACTCAGAGAGAAACGACTCTTACTGCATAGACAGCAACAGACAATATTAATTTTCTGAGAACACAAGGCTTCCAGTGGTAACTTGCTTCTCATTGTCAACACATGGATACATAAAGGATAAGGCTCCCGATCAGGTAAGCATAAATTTGATGACAGCTTAATGATGAACAAGAATGGCTCCCCACAGATTGCCCATAGGTGCAACTGTTTCATTTAGCCAGAAACTACGGTTGCAAATTTGAGAGTATAAGCCAAAGACTACCACCAGCTGAGCTGCTATTGCTGTTCAGTCAGGAGGGCAGGGGAAGTCAAACATGCCTGCACACAGTACTTGCCATTGCAATTCTTTTGATGCTGCTGGCTAAAGGAACTAGTCAGGTTTTTGTTTCCTAGCCTTTTACTCACAAGGCATCTGCATTCAGAACGGAACTTACATTATTTTTACTACTTCAAAATTTTATTAAACATTGCTAAATTAGTAAGGGTTCTTCAATATAAGGAGAAGTTACTTCAGCCAATTTACAATCTATTTTAAGGTATGCCCTTTCATTTAGTAAACCAAACTAAATATGAGGAAGAAATACACTGTGCCACTGTTTTGAAAATCCACATTACCTTTTCACAGGCTCTGTCTGCACAAGTGCTGCATCTGTCATGGCTTTCATCCACAACTCCATTTCCTTCCCTGTATCTGTGCAGAAATAATAGGTCCTCATGTTTGGATGAGCTGCCTGATTGGAAATGACATGGTCATTGCAATAAAAATGTAAGATTCTGTAAAAGAAGAGAGGCAAATAATGTTACTGTATACTCACTCTAATGTTTTCTATAATAAGATTTCTGCAAATAATATTAACAGAAAAAATATCGGAAGGAATACTTCAATGTTTCTCTGTCACTGCATTCATATTTTCAAAATAATTGCTGATAATTTTCAATCATAGCTGCTTCTTCATTAATACACTCAATAAAAAGCCCTTAAATTTCTTCAATCTATTAAAAACTATCTTGACTATCCATTAATGTAAAGTAATATAATTATTACAAATAAGATTTTGGCATAGATTTTTGCAGTCTGAATGATACAGTAAGTTTTAATTTGTACTTACCATAGTAAATAAATGATGTGTGGCTTAGGAGGCCAAATGAAGAGCCAAAAGGAGCTCATAAAACAAATAAACAAAAAAAGTCAAGAGAAAATATTTAGTAGAGTGATTTATATCATGATAAAAAAGATTAGCTGAGAAACACCCCTAACAATGATTCACATAATATTGTGATTTAAGTGATGACAAAACCTTGTTTTTATTTATATGTAAAGATACTTTGTATCTAAATGACTAAAGAACTTTCATTAGTGGGATAAGTCTAGCTGCAGATACAGTCTACAATTCTAAAACACCACACAGTATTTAAGATCCATGAACTAAAAATTAAAGACTAATAAGTGATATTAATCCATTTTCTCATTCTAGTAATTATATCTATATTTACATCAGGCTAAATACTTGAATCCTCTGCTACCGTATTATGCAAAAATCAGTCTCAGAAGCTGTTTGTCAATCCTGTTTTGCATAACAACTCAGTAAAACGAGTTCTGTTCGCTAGGCTATTGTGCTTTCAGAGATAAAATTAAACTGAAAATTTAATTCCCTTACCTTAAAGGCATATTTGCGGTTAATATGGTCCTCAGGAGAAAGCACAGATATCTGAAAACTAGGTAGAAGTATGCTACCCAGTATTCCTTCTTCTTTCTCATCTGTGAATGTATAGTCTTTGATTAGAGAAACAAAGCGTTTTGACACATAATACTTACATTCAGACCCTTCAGTGAAACTCTGTACTTAACACCACAAGATCAGTAACAAGAAGTTTACCTCGGAAGAAAATGCATTAGAGAATCAGAAAGCCAGACTGATTTGTTAGGTAGGTACCTGTATATGGTCTCATTAGTGTGCAGTCCACAAAAGCAATTGTGCAGTCCCTCTCTGCCAACACATACGACAGAACCCACATCACACAAGCATGCACCCCAAAAAACCTGCTAAGCACTGTGAAATCCAGGTCATTTGAATATGACCACCTTCAACTTTTTCCCAAGATGGACAAGCACAAAAAACCCTCCTGAGAGTGCCAGCTCTCTAAGTTAAAGTACATGAGCTACCTTATGGAAAACACCACAAACAGCTTCACCTAGAGTTTTTCTGGGGATCAGTGCTTACCTGCATATGATTTCAAAACTGAAAAGTAGATGGAAGTCAAGCCTCTAATTCAGTGACAAGAACAATACCTGCTATCTATTGCCTGCTCAGTAAAAACTGTGAATACCCATGAGAACAGAAGTATTTTTTAAAATACTGTTTATGGTTGTTGGTCTTTGAGAACATTTGCACATTCCTCTTCTGATATAGGGCATATTAAGCTACGAGATTGTAATAATTCCCATGAACTGTTTACACTCACATTCTATTCGTAAGAATGCATATTTCAGACTATTTGTAAAAAATATACCACCACCAAACACCCTTTTTTAAGAACACTGGTTTTTTGTAAAATTTTAGAACAATACTTTACAATAATAAATTGACATTTTAATTGGAAGGAACCACCAGCTCTTAAATCCAATTACACTTTAATAAAGGAATAATCAGATGCAATTCCCAAAGTCAATCTTAATTGTATTTCAGATACAGAACTTCTATTCACAACCACTATCTTAGGAGATTGTCCCCCATAACACTTCTCTTAGTTGAAGATGCTGCCCACAACAAATGACTATGTTTCTATGAGATTAAGATGAAAACATAGATATTCCAAAGTTTCAAGCATGGAAAAGTTATAGTTACAGTTAAAATACATGTAAACAGCACAAAAGGACTACCTCTTCTACCCAGATTTAAAAATCTTTTCCTGGTTCTTGTTTACTCACTAAATTCTGAAAAGCCACAATTTTCCTTTGAGTTATTCATATGGGAAAAGCTCTGCCCAGCCGTATTAGCATTACATAACATGCTAGATGTAAAAGTTACACTTTCTTGGATAGTTATTTAATTGAGAACAGAGCTAAAATTATTCCGATTAGAAGGTAGAAGTGAAATGAAGAGAGTAGATTTATTTTCAGGTACTCGACTGTACTCACAAGTATGCCTGAAACCATCCCATCTCCCCCTCTCAAATATTTACTCCTTGCTAGCCACACACACACAAAATTCTGCCTTTTTTCCCCTGTCCCAGAATGGATGGCAAATGTTAGGGTTTACTTTATTTGGACTGCTGTTTTGGGGAGAAAGTCCCTCCTGTCAGATTATACTCTGATTTATGACTAACTCACACCCACTAATACCATGTAAAAGCATTAAGCATTTTTGCTCCACTGAACAGCTGCGTGGCTGGAGGACTTTGGTCTTTGTAAAGACATACTGCTACATTCCATTTCCAGATTTTAAAAATCTGTTTCCCATCAAACTAGCTTTTATCTACGCATTACACTGTCCCATACCCATCTTTACTTGTATGCTGTGTATGAATAATACAAGATTAAAAATAGCAGATCTTCTGTCCAGCTCTAAGATCTTTTATTTTTTTGGAACAATAACCTTCCAATATGAAAGAGGGCAGTCTTTCATCCTTCCATGAAACAGAAAGAGTATTCTCTAAGCTCTGAAAAAATATAAGGAAATAATTTTTCTTTTAATCTATAAATTAGATTTAAGCATTAGCTGCCACCATTGTAAAACAACTGTAAACATTCAGTAAGATTTACTAACAAAACCAAAAAACAAAACCAAAAAAAAACCCCAACAACCACAGTCACATAACCAGAAACACTGTTTGCGATCTGGAAGTAAGTGCCTGGTTCCCCCCTTTCAATTTTTTCAATATCCAAGGCAGAATTAATAAAAGCACAGGGTTTAGAGTGCAAGTTTTTTATATTGTAGTAGCCATTTCTAATACCTTTAAGACTATCACTATACATGCTTAATTACAGTTTATCAGTTTTAACTGCTTTCTACTAAGTGAACAATAGCTAAAAGCTAAGTTTATCATGTAAACAATTTAGACTTCTGCTTGTATTTCAGTTTATTAGGCACACTAACATGTGGAAATGAGAAAGTAAGATTATAGAGCTGTTTGGATTTATTTTATTTGTTGTTGGTTTTGCTTATTGCTTTTTTGTTTTATTTTGAGATACTTCATATGCAGTACTTTAAGTCAATTACATCTGGTCTTAAGGCAGCTACAAAGCAGCACTTTTCTTTAGAACCTTTGGAAGAGAGAGCCTGAAGACTTGTTTAAAATAAGAAAACCCTATAAGAAAGCACAGAGTATATAATGACCACTTAACTAAACACAGTGTAATTGTATCACAATTGATGCCTCCATGACTGAAATTAAAGCCTAATTTTGACTCAGCAGTGGTTTATCCAACTACATATACTTCTTTGGGTAAAGAAACAAAGCCTAATTATTATATTTCAATAATTCAGAATTTGTTAACTAAAACAGTTACAAAGACAAAGCTTTAGTGTTTCATAACCTGATTTGTCTTTATTAGACTAGAACCATGCTGCACTTTACCAGAACACCATTTTAAATTCATCAGTCACTGCTTTCAGCATCACCAGCATCAACACCATTTCTATCAATTCTAAAGTCTTATCCTAAACCAAAACCTTTTCTTACCCTTCACAAGGCTGCACATGGCCTTAACTGTTAATTTTCCTCTATCTTGCCATGCTTTACAATATTCTTTGCTCTTAGCCTCTTTTAAACTATTATGGTCGTACACCTTATTTCAGGATTGGATATGTTTTCATATGCACAAATCCCACTTGTTTATCCCCTCAGGAGCACTACAGTTAATAATCTGTAATGGTGAAGGAATCAGTTTTCTAACATACATATCTCCAGACTAGAATTATAAGCAGCTAATTTTTCCCATGTAAAATAAGTCTCATGTAGCTACATAAGGGTACTAACAGATTTCTTTGTTCCAAATACAGCAGAGACTTCTACTCATATGGAATTGGACAATGTTTCACTTTATAAGTATTCATGAACACTGATTAGATTCCCAAAAGGCATGTATATCCTCTTTATCATTCCAAAGGCAGAGTTTCAGCTCCCCTGCACTATCCCTTTCCTATCCCATTTCAGTTACTTCATTTGCATGAAAAATCAGATTTAACCTGGCATATTTAGCTCCTAACAACAGAAGCAGTGAGAAAACTACAATCCAGAATTTAATAAAGAGGTGGCTGTGAATGGGTTTGCTCTTTGAGCGTACCTGACAGGCAGGAAGCTATTATGTGAAATTGGTAATTAAGAAAGAAGAGGGGCGGGAGGCAGAAGATAAAAGTAGCAGGCCTGGATATTGACAGCTTACATTTTCCTTACACTTGAGTGGAGTGCCAAAATTTATCTGCTTCCAGTAAAATTAGCAAACAAAGCTTTCCTGAGCGGAACTTACCTCTGTAATAGAAGAGACACAGATCTGACAGCACAAACCACCGTTTCTTCCACAACTTCATTCCAGTACTATCCTGTATTAATCAAAGTGATCAAGTAAGAATTTTCACTGTTAATAGTAATGATTCACAAAGTAAACCAGGTACTACATAACTGTGTTGGTATGCTAGTAGTTAATTTTCTTGGCTAAGATATTTTAGGTATCTTTGACTTCTCATCACAGACTTGACACTGCAAACAAAGATCGTAACTCAAGAAGCCTGAGGTTAACATGATTCAAGAATCAATGAAATGAGAGCCCATTATTTTAGCATGCTAGAGACTACAAACTACAGTTAACCAAAAAAAATGTATACTTTTTCTTTTTAAAAAGGAAAAGAGAAAGGTAATACTTGAGGTACAACCTCCTTTGTTTTCTGAAGAAACTCTCTGCTGAACTTCATCTTCTACTATCCACTCATGTATCTAGAGCAAATTTCTTTCCCAAATAAAGTTTATTCCTAAAGCAATCTCATTTTCTTTTATGCTTATAACCAATTTACACTGCGTAACTCAGAATGAAAGACTGCCACCACTACTGCAGTGTAAATAAGCCAGAGCATTGCAGTGCAGACATCCTAGTAGAATCAGATTTAATAAATATATTAATCTGTTCCCAGAAGAAAGGTACATGTGAATTATCAATATTCTCGTAGTATATAGGTTTTGTGACAATCAAGAAGAGGGATTCTATAATGAAAAACTGTGGGGTAGTGTGGGTTTGGTTTTGGGGTTGTTTTAGGGGTTTTTTTGAGAAAAGTCAGCATGATTTTTAGCCTCTCATTTCAAGCTCTGCTCTTTTTGGGGTGGGGGAAATGAGCTGAAGGAGGGAGAAGAAAGGGTAAAGTGTTAGCTAGGAAATATTATTCAGAAAAAGTTAAAAAAGACTTTGCCAACAAACATTTTCATAAATAGAATAACTAAACACTTTATAGCACCTTCCTTCTGAGGACCTCAAAGTGGTTTAACAAACACTAATGAAGTCTGAAAGCACTGTCCACAGCAGCCAGCTCCTATTTCACAGCTGGAAAGGCAGACACGAAGAGGGGAAACTGCCTTCCTCACCTCACTGACAAGGTCACTGACTCAGGAGTGGATTAGGGTGCAGACCCCTGGCCCAAATGACACCAGCCATAAAAATCAACTGTATGACGTGAAAATACCCAGACTTCTTCAGTATAAAGAATTATCACAAACCCTCAGACAGACTTTCTGAAGAGACTGTTACGCAACATCATATTTATACCATCACTCAAAAACACCAACAGGTTTCTACACGGCCACATGTAAAATTCTGCCAGCAATGAGACACACTAGGAATGATCTTTCGTCCTTCTTCAGACATAGTAGAGAGGCACACAAAATGATTGTGTGGTTCTCATGTTTTAAATTCTTTCCTACTTCAAAGTAGATCCTTTTTGTATCAGTGGATTTACTAATTATTGTTCCGTCTTGATTGCAATTATGTCATAGTATGGTAACAGTATGTTCACAGTAAACACTTTCCAAAAAAAGAGCTGACTCTGGACTTAAAAATCAGTAGAAAAGTGACAGAAGAATGGCATTACATACAATTAAACAGCACACCATGGGTCAAACAAAACTTGCTGTTCTCTGTGATTACATAAACTTGTTAAGAAAGTTATCCTACTACCAAAAAGAAACTTGCACAAGCTTTCACGGTAAATTTCTGAAGATAATATGTGTTGGTAAACTCTTGACTAAATTGGCTTTCATTTACTACTACAACATGGAAATATACAGCAACCCCTTTTCTTACAAAAACCCAATCAAACATCAGAGCATGTAAATCATTTTACACATAAACCCTGTCCAACGGTATGCATTTGGACGGTGAGGTGGACTGAAAACTGGTTGAACTACCAGGTCCAGAGAGTGGTGATCAGTGGCACCAGTTGCTAGAGGGCTACCCCAGGGGCTGATACTGTGGCCAAGACTATTTAACATCTTCATTAATGACCTCCATACTGGGACAGAGTGCACCCTCAGCAAGTTTGCAGGTAATACCAACTATGAGGAGTGGCTGATACACCAGAACGTTGTGCTGTCATTCAGAGGGACATCAACAGGCTGGGAAATTGGGCAGAGAAGAATCTCATGAAGTTCAACAAAGGGAAATGCTCAGTCCTCCATCTGGAGAGGAATAATCTCATGCACCAGTACACACCAGGGCTGATCAGCTAAAATGGAATTCCGTGGAGAAGGACCTGGGGGGTCCTAGTGGATAAGCTGATCATGAGCCAGCAATGCACCCTCATGGCAAAGGCGGCCAACACTATCCTGGACTGCATTAGCAGTGTTGCCAACAGATGGAGGGAGGACACCCTTCCTCTCTACTCGGCACTAGTGAGGTCTAGCTGGAGCGCTGCGTTCAGTGCTGGGCTCACTGGTACAAGAGAGACACGGACGTACTGGATTGAATCCAGCAAAGGGCCACAAAGATGATTAAGGGATTGGAGCATCTTTCATGCGAAGAGAGGCTGAGAGAGCTGGGACTATTCAGTCTGGAGAAAGGGCAGCTCAGGGGGCACCTTATCAATGTGTATAAATACCTCATGGAAGAGTGTAAAGATGGAGTCAAACTCTTCTCAGTGGCGGCCAGTGACAGGACAAGAGGGAAATGGGCACAGATTATGAAATTGAAATTCCACCTGAGCAGAGGTAAACCCTTTTACTGTGAGAGTGGTCAAACGCTGACACAGGTTGCCTGGAGAGGTTGTGGTGCAGGCTCTATCTATGAGGATATTCACAACCCAACTGGACAGAGTCCTGGACAACCTACTCTAGCTGAGCCTGCTTGATGAGCAGGGGAGGTTGTGCTAGATGATCAAGAGGTCCCTTCCAACCATCAGAATTCTGTGATTCTGAGATCTTAAAATATAGCTACTGTTTCTTCAGTAGTAAAATAATACAATTGTACACTAAAATGGACTTGGTAATATGAACAAAGAGTATAATTTTTAGGAAAGCAACATCTTTGTACTACTTCATAGGCTGAATATCCATGATTTGACATGAAACAAGAGACATAGACCAGCAAGAATCTTTAGAGCATTCCAGTAAGTTGGTTCAGGTACATAATCATATCTCTTCATACATGTAAAACTCACTACAAAGGACCTCAGAATGAAAAGCCAGATCATCACAAATCTAACTTATTCAGAAGTAGGCAGCAAAGTCTCAGCAAACTTCTGTGTTTCTGTTGGCTACTCTTACAGGCAGAGATTTTTATGCTCACATGCATGGCAATAACAACTTACATAAACACAGATACTCATGTGCACAACCACGTGAGCTATAATTCAGACTTCATATTTCAATCAAGTTAATTGTCTCATTTAATGCAAATATCCAGAAAATATTACTTCAGGAGTAGGGTGACTTTTTTCAAGCTAAATAGTGTAATAGCCCCAAAACAAAGCAAAAAAAAATCTCTCACCTTTGTGACAACTTTTCACTCTCAACAGTGAATGAGAGTGGAGGCCACAAGAGTATCCAAACATGGAAAAATCTTCTACTAAGCAGACACTTCTGGATCTTTTTATCCGATATTAATTTTAAAACCTGACTCATCAACAGCATCCAGAAAGCTACGTGAGTCATACCAATCTATCAGAGCAGGGACAGTAAATGACAATCTAGATTCAAAACTACATATACACATTTGCCTCAGCTAAGTTTAAATGACAGGTTCTTATAGGGTTCTTGGTAGATTTATAAAATATAATCCTAATATGGCCTGATCAGTTTTGTTGTTCAATTTTTTGTTCAAACTACTCTACTCTGATTTCATCAGAGCAAGAAAGTGCAAGCGGTCTGGTATTGCAGAATGGCAAATCTACAGCAGGCTGGGTACACTGTCATTAAATACTAAGAAGCATATATTTCCGATTAGCTTCCATTCAATAGGAAAACCAAAAATGATCTCTGATTTTAAGATGATCATCTCTGAGTTAAGAAAACAGGCATTCCTCTCTCTTTTCATATGTGAAAAACTTGCTTGATTTCCAATTTTTTATTGAAAATATTTACTTAAAAAAAAAACAAAAACAAACCAACAAAACATTAAGAGATACAGCCTAGCAAAAGAAACTTCAGAATTTAAAAAACCAATATGCTGGGTCATACATCCTTGTCCCATCATCTCAGCATGCCTGAAATTCATTCAGCTATTTACTACCAACATCTGCCTAGATTTTTCAAGCCCTTTGTGTATTTTAGAGAGAAATATGGATATATATTGTACCAATGTTCTGTACTAGTACCTGTTTGTACTAGTCTGATGCCCCTACTCATTTGTATCAGAGTGTTATCCAATAAGTAGCTAATCAATTAAAATACCATGTGTCAGTTCCTCACAGTTTATAGCTACACTGTGATATTGCTATCATTGTATTTTATGCAAATGATTGTCTTTTGTACATTCTACACTTTACCAAAAAAAAAAGAAGGGGCTGAAAAGGGGAAGAGTACCTGTTTGTAGAGCCAGCCACACCTGACAACTGGGGCATTGGGATTTCTCTTTATTGAGTTTGATCTCTTTCCAAAGTTATGAACCTTCTTTGAAGATCGTGATGTCTAAATTGAATTGAACAGGTTAAAGAAAACATGACATCAATATCTCTTGCAAAATCATCACACATTTTCTTTTCTTTAAGATCTTTTTCTTATACATGTTACCCTGGTGGATTGTAGAATACAAACTGTATTTCTTTTTCAGATAAATAATTAGTATGATGGTTCTGCTGGCTTCAGCATTTCTTTCTTTTTCCTCTGCAGAAAATTTAAAGACAAATCCCAAGACAAGTACTTATATTTTTTTTTTAACGAGAAAAAACAACGAAATACATATCTGACCTTCTTATAAGGTAGGTAGAAAACCTACCAAGCTGTAGAAAGAGAAGTAAAATTAGCAGAACTATCATTAATTATGAAAAATTATAGCAACTGGGCAAGAAAATTCTACTCTTTCCTGCTTCCAACACTGGCTTAATAAATGAAAACTTGTTCAGATTTCAACAAGATATAATTCAAAGGCTTTCTGTTGAGTCTTCTCCTTTCCTAACACATACTAACTTCCTTGATTTCTTTTTTCCCCCTCTCAAGAACCCTTTGCTCTATGATCTCTTGGCTGGTTTGAATATTCATTATTTTACCTGCTTGCACTAGGGCCTACTTTGAATCTTTTGCCCTGTTGCTTAAACCTTTTACATCCTTACAGCTACGCAATGATCACAGATGTTTAAGAGAAGTAGGATAAATAACCCATTTTAGATTTTATTCTTCTACTTGAGTAACCAAAACAAATTGGAAAAGGCATAGAGAAACATGCAGCGCTTTGCCAATTCACACTTCATTCTTTTCAGCCTACATTTAGAAAGTTTGTTCTGCAACTAAATGAGCTAAATGTTTACTTGTTTTTTAAATTCTGTAAGAATTGGTGCCTCGGAGACCATGTGATGTGATATAGCAGAGTATCCCACTCTGCAAAACAAGGAAAATTCAAATAAGTTTTTTAAGCCCTGTTCATGGCTCTGCTCCAAATCCACCATTTGAACTGAGACAATATAATCCTGTGCTTTAGCTTCCCCATCTCTACTACTGAGACTAATCATAAGGTTATACAAAGTTCCTAAAGAAGGAAGGCTAAACAAACACTCATTTTTTGTTGCAAATTAGGGTATGGGGTTTCTCTACGGCAATTCTCTCAATACGCATCACAGAACTGAGTTGGGTTTTATACATGCTTCAGAGAGAATTCCACAGTAGGTTACAAATCATAAACTGAAAACTTCAATTTAAAATGATGTGCAGCTTTTGTCAACGATGCCATTAACTGAAGAATAGAACATAGGTTAGCCAAAAAGAATAACATTACAGAAATTCTGTGTGTTTGTCTTAAGCCTACACACAATGAAACAAGGACATTTTGTATTTCTTTTTTGAAAGAATCAGAAGGGAATACAAAAACAATCAGAGTGCTTTTAATTTCCCTTGGAGATACAGAAATTTGATTCAACTCTGTTTGAGCAAGATAAAGCAAGCAATTGAAAACCTAATTAAAAATAAAAATCTTTCACATTTTCATTTGAAAAAATTCCACCACTGAGAAATGGACAAAAGTTTGTAAGAAGCCAAGAGAATGATGACATCCAGCTGTAAAAAAGGAATATACAGGGAATCTATAACAATCCAGAGCACATTATAAAATTAATTCTACATCCATCTCAGTTAACCTATATTGCTACTATAGTGGCATATCACACAAGAGCTGTGCCAAGATTTTGATCAGAAGTAATTTATAATAGTCATACCTGCTCTAATATTAGGTGTTAAAGGTTCAAAACCTCTCAGGAGTGTTCCAGACTTCCTATGCTTGTACAATGACTAACACATTAAGGATGCTTCTGAAAACACAACCAACAAGTACTACTAATGTCAAGTCTACTAATAAATTCAGATAAGATAGATAGATATCTCTTAGATAGGTCTGATAACAAACCATATTGACTCCAATTTCAATGGGTTAATTATACATCTTACCAACTGTGAATACAAACTTCCATTAATTAAACAGAGCATCACAAGTGCTTTCTAATTTTAGTTAATACAGAGAACACTTCAGATGACTTGTGACTATTTTACCACACACTGCATAAAGAGAATAACTCTTCACAACAAATTCTGAGCCTCGAGACAATGAGTATTTTAGATATTGCAGTATTGTAGCTGTATATATAAACTAATTGTGAGTTCTCAAACTTTTTAGATCACATCCTCCTCTTGTATGTCTGGGATTCCTGATCATCCCATGTTCTCTCACACACATATCTAATACATCTCAAACTGGGGAAACAGGAAGAAAGGAAAAAAGAACTGAAGGGTTCAAATACTTTTTACGCCACAGCACTAAAAATATAGGACACAATGCATGGCTCCAGCTTCTGGAGAAGGCAAAGAGAAAAGGAGGATAGTGAATGAAGGGTCCAACTACTCATCACTGGCTGGAAGGTGTAGAAGGTAACAGAGCTAGCAAACTTATAGTCACATCTGGTACCATCTGACCCATTCTAAGGAATGGTCCAGCAATTTTGATGCCTCTTAAAACAGAACCTATGGGAGGGACCCTGTACAGCTCCAGTACTGAGAAACAAGCCAGGAAGTCCAGCCAGTGATATTCACTCTT